CAATCAATATTATGCGTTTAATAAAAATTAAAAAATATTTACCAAAAAGAAAAATAAAAAATAGGATAAATTACATTTTCATACCTCAGGTTTGAGGTTTATTTCAATTCATTACAACATCTTTAAAACATTTCACTTTCATACCTTAACTACTATTTTATTTCAAAATAACACCTCTGTTACATTTTCCATCCATTGATCCATTAAATGTTGACGTGGTTGACACATATATGCCACATGGCTGCCAAATGTTTGCCACGTGGCAAATAAAATAATTTAAATTTTTTATTTTTTAAAAAACCTGAATTTTCTCAAAAATAATAATTGAAACCCACAATCCCTCCCCCCCCCCCCCCCGGGCCCGGCAGTGACCCACATCTGCAAGAACAAGAAGAAGAGGGAGGAAGAAAGAAAGAAAAAAAAACCCCAAAATCCCACCCAAGCCACCCCTCCCAAAAATCCCCCATCAACCGCCCCTAAAAATCCCACCCGAGATTAGGTGGATCTACCACAAAACCAGTCCAAAAGTCATCTCAAACTCAAAGTATATTCAAAACTCACCAATACAGGAAATCACCAGATTGCGGAGGGCTCAGTGGGGCCAGGGGGGTTAGGGATAGTTTCAATTTTTTTCTTTCTTTCTTCCTTCCTCCCTCCTCTTCTTCTTGTTCTTGCAAATTGTCCTTCTTCTTGCATATGTGGGTCGCTTTGGGGGGCCCGGGGGGGGGGGGGGGGCGTTGAAGGATAGTTTCAAAATTTTTTTTTTTTTCTTTCTTCCTCCCTCTTCTTCTTCTTCTTCTTCTTCTTCTTGTATATATGTGGCAGCCACGTTAGCATTTAACAAATCAATGGATGGAAAATGTAACAGATGTATTATTTTGAAATAAAATAGTACTTAATGTATGAAAGTGAAATATTTTGAAGATGTTGTAAGGAATTGAAATAGATCCCAAACATGAAGTATGAAAGTATAATTTATCCAAAAAAATAAGTGTACAAATTATAAGTAATGTGAGTCAATTGAAAGAAAATCTCCCAAATCACATAATCCATTCAACATCATGATTCTCATATCACCACATGTATTTGACGCGTGGAATGCACTTCGTCCCTTCAAGAACTTTCCACTTTTGGTTAACACATCCATTAGTACTATTTCACCGAACCATTGCAACTGTCTTTTTCTTTAAATAGTAATAAAAATGGATAAACAACTAAAACATGTAACCAATCCTCTTACAAATTGACCAAAAATTATCCACCAAAACAAACCAAATATATGTCCACGTTTTCTTTATTTATGCAGAAAAGGACACCTGTATTCATTTTCTTAGACGCTAGATTGTAAGAAAGAAAATGACCAGTGAGGATTTATGTATTTCCCGAACAACAAGCTCTACAACAAGTTATGTTAGAAAAATTCTTTTTCCTTATTTGGGTAAAAGTATTGAAAGTTTCATTCTTTAGGCAAATATCCGCAATTCATTTTCAAACCCCTATTTTGAAGGACTACCTTACCTTTTTAGAAAATCATCTCTTTAAGAACCAAACTATTTATCGGTCACTTCATTCATTTATCGCAAACCAATATTTGCTTTTACATCTTAATTTCACATTCATCAATCATCAAGAAACCAAAACTCAACCTAGAGAAAACACATTTTGATCTAACCATTTCAAAAAATGGCCGAAGAAGATCCTAAAGAAAAGGCTGATCGAGAGAGAATTTTCAAGCGGTTTGACACCAACGGTGATGGCCTAATTTCTGCAACCGAGCTAGGAGATGCATTAAAAACACTAGGCTGCGTTCAACCCGATGAAGTGAAATTTATGATGGCGGAGATCGATACTGACGGTGATGGCTTCATTTCGTACCAGGAGTACTTGAATTTTGCTCTAGCTAACCGTGGTTTAATTAAGGATGTTGCCAAGATATTTTAGGGGCAACGTTCATCTTCAATTTTATTAATTTGTTTATGCCATTCTCTTTAATGTGTTGTGTGTTTATGTGTTAATTCAATTTTTATTGAATAGAAATGATTTGGTAGTTGGACTGTAAACTTCTTATTCCCATACCATACATATGGTACCATTTGTTTAAGTGTACAAATGCCAAATGATATCTTGGTGTATTTATTTATATATTTGTTTATATATGAGTTGTGCTCACGAATGAGAAACTGAAACACATGGCTTTGAAATTATGAATGAATGCTTTTAATCACTTAAACTGTAAACTCTACTTTATAATTATTTTCATATATTTTATATAGACAATTTTTGAAACATCCCGACCAGAATTAAGGCGTGCTGGCGGTCACGGAAGAACCATCATGGGAGTGCTCGTGTGAGTTTCCAGAACCATCATGGGAGAACCATCATGGGAGAACCATCATGGGAGTGCTCGGAAGAACCATCACGGGCGCTACGCGCCCCTAAATGTGTATTATGTTAGTTTTGTTCCATTGTGGTTGTCAATGTATATGCTTTAGAAAGTATGATACCAAGTTTGGAGGTGAGGTATGAAATCTAGAAGATGACTGCTCCTAATTGGAAGCAATAAATTGAAGTTGTTGACGTGGATACTCTCTCACACGCAGCAATACCTATTACGGTGTTCTCAAGCACGTGCGAAAGACACTTTTTAAATCATGGCACGCTACACGCAACTTACACATTTTAGATGTATTTATATGCGAGGATTGGTTCAAAGTATAGAAACATAAAATAAAGGCGATTATCATATCTAATAATACAGGCGGAATCTAAAGTATTTTGTCTAGAATATGTAAAAAAAAAAAAAAAAGTAATAAATAACAGAGAAGATCCTTATAATTTAGTTCCAACTAAAAGTTAAATAAAAAGTATAAAAACAATCCGAGAAATTTAATTGACCTTGATGCACATGACACCAAAAAATATAATGAACTCATATCATTCCGTCCTGTTGAAAATTTAATGCGTTTGGTTAAAATCAAATATTAGCATTATTTGTAATTGAAGTGCATTAAAAGTTAAAAAAGGGAATTAAACATTAAAAAAAAGAATGTAACCTTATGTTGAATTCAAGGGAAGCAAAATATCTTTGTACACAACATTTCTTGTGAAGACTCCTTCGTTACCGTGTAACTCTCCTTTCTTTACCAAGACTTTTGTTGTAGACGCTGAAACTCCTCTTGATAAAGCCATGTACAATTGTCTATGACTGAATACGTGATCTGGTAGATAAATACCCACATTTGGTATTGTCTGCCCTTGTGATTTATTTATAGTTAGTGCAAAACTCAATTTCACTGGAAACTGTTTTCTCATCATTTCGAATGGGAGTCCTGCACTTTCTATGGTCTTTAAAGAGATTCTTGGTAAAAACACTCTAGTTCCAGCAAATTGTCCAGATAAGATTTCGGCATCAATTAGATTATTGTAAGCTCCATGGCAAGCCAGTCTTGTACCATTGCACAACCCCATCTTCGAATCGATATTTCCCAAAAGCATTATCGGGGCACCTTTTTTCAAAGTTAACTGATGAGGGGGCATTCCACCAGGTGAGATTGAATTCAAGAATTCTTGTTGATACAAATTTCTCACATCGTCCTCAACTGAATCGAAAGAGTATAAGATATGTTCAATCCCCGGAAATTTATCGATGATCATTTTATTGATTTTGTCAGCATCCTCATTGTTTGGTGTTATAATTGCTCTTTCCACCAAGTATCTTGCATCACATACATGACATTCCAAATCGGGGAAAACTTCATTAACCAATTGGACAATGGATTCTTCACCATTCCATGGAATAACCATAGATGATGGTAATTGCATCATGTCGTCTATCATAGTTTCTTGTTCCCCATTACCAACATGAAGTAAGAACTCTGAAAAGTCTTGATCATTGATGGATCTCATGTTATGCCTAAGACGAATGATTTTCACGTGTTCCCAAAATGAAGCATTAATCATACTTGCTTGCATCAATTCAGATCTTGTACCTTTTGGAACAACTAGAAGAACTTGTCGAAAATCTCCTCCAAAGATTATGACCTTTCCTCCATATGGTAGGTCAACGCCCATTATATCTTTGAACGTTCGATCGAGAGCCTCAAATGCAAACCTGTGTGCCATTGGTGCTTCATCCCAAACAACAGCTGATGTTTTTCTTATCAATTCTGCCAAATCTGACTGGATACTAATAGAACATGTGGAAGATGCATCTGGACTGAGGGGAATTTTAAATCTAGAGTGTGCTGTTCTTCCACCTGGCAATATGGTTGCTGCAATTCCAGATGTTGCTGTTACCAATATAATATGACCCTTACTCCTTAAGGTTGCTAACAAAGCACGATATAAGTATGTCTTTCCTGTCCCTCCGGGACCATCCACAAAAAATATGGCATTGTCTCGTTGTTCAATAGCAGACACAATCGAGTTATACGCTACCATTTGGTCTTCATTTAGATTTTGTACCGCATTGAGGTCTGCTTCAGAGATGTCAAGTGAAACTTCATCTTGTATTATCCTTGGAATTGTGTTGTCTCTAACACAATCTTGTGTTATTTGTGGTAAATCGTAATCAGATACAGACTTACTATGTTGCACTAATAGTCCGTTCAAGTCTTGCAAAAGCTTGTTCAAGATAGAAGTATTATTTGTGGTACTTGAAGTAGAATAATCTTCCACCATAAAAGAATGAAATTCATCCCATAATCTTCTTACTCCATGTGGCTCGCAATAAACTAAGATGGTAACAAACAACCTTCGCAAAGCTGACGGCATGCGAATGTTAGTGGCTTCACAGAGACACTGTCTGATGCTATCATCATCTTCTAGCAAACCTTGTTGTTCCACTGCCTTCTTAAATGTTGGTTGTACAATGTCATTGACTGTTCTTAAATTCTCAAATGATGTTGGTCCTCTAACATGATTAAGAAGGATGCGTAAGTAGAATTTTTCACCCTCATTCGGCGAGACTGCATATATCCGGCCAATAACTTTATGGTTATTCATCCTCTCACTCTAGAGTTTATCTCTTTGACTCCATTTGAACCGTTTAGGGAATTCCCGGTATAAGTATTGTCGTGCTTCCGGGCAAGTGGTATTCTTGGTAAAAAACTCTGTCAGCATAGTCATCGAGTTAGTGTCATCTGCCAAAATATCTGTTACTCTTTGGTGAGGGTAAAAATGAATAGTTTGTCCTTCAGGAAGATGAATTTGTAATCGTTCCACCGATGGATAGAGTCGATTAGTTACAAATTTGAATATTCTCCATAAAGCTTCAGGTGCACAAACCCATCTTGCATCAACAAACTGCTTTATTTCATCTTGAATAGGTTCATGATGGACTTCAAAAGCTACTCGGTCGGGACCTTTGTAAACATATTTGTGCAGATACTTAACACTCTTAATGCTGCAACAAATCTCAACATTAATATGACAATCATATCTGAGGAGTAGCCATGAGTTATACGGAATGACCCACCGATTATCCACCATTATACATGCATTATGATCTAATGGGATTGGATCATGATTGTCTCTTCTACGATAGACTGGATAAGAATCATTTCCTTGAACTGTAGTTAGTGCAAATGGCTTAGGATAATTTCGTTTACAGCTACCACGTTTCATACAGGGTGACCGTGAATTGTGTATTCCACATGGACCATGTATCATATGCCTTAAGACGGCACCATACAATTTAGGCTCTTCATTTGGATTTGGTATTTCAGCCCGTACCACCTGATCATAATCATCTGGACTATTAAGCTTATCGTTTTCTTCTAACATGAGAAGCATGTGAACATGGGGGAGACCGCGCTTTTGAAACTCAATGACATATACATATGCAAGAACTTTGCCTAAAACACCTTTTTTTATAACATCATTCTTCAACTCTTCAAATTTTGCACGAAAAACCCTTGTAAGCAAATCTGGTCGATCTTGTGGTGTTTGGCCAGGTAGTAGCTCATCACTTATTTCTTCCCAAGTTGGATTACATGTCATTGTTAGGAAAATATCTGGTCTTCCATATTTTTGAACCAAAGTCATTGCATCTTGATACCTTTGATACATGTCTCGGGGACTACCAACAAAAGATGATGGTAATATAGTCCTACGACGACCGACGTCTCCTGTATTTGTTTTGTTATAGGTCGTTAATAAGTCTAAATATGTTTGTTTTGTTTCAACCTATTAATAAGTCTCATTTAATATGACAGAACATGAACTTAAAGAATATATATGTTTTATTATAAACTGATTAGCTTCATACCTGCATTATTTTGTCCTGCAATTAATGAGTCTTGCAGTCCTCGATAAAATTCAGATCGAATTGTGTGTTGATTATTACGCATCCATCTAAGCTTTTGTGATTCGATCTTGACGTAGTTATCAACTACATATTGTTGCAATAGGCGGCCACCACGAAGTAGAAGCGATTCGTCGTGTTGACGGATCTAAAATGATATAATTCATTGTTCAACACAATATAAGTTTTAAAAATAATATTGTATTCATAGAGATGAAGGTCTTAGGTTACCTGAAGAAGATACGAATAATAGTCACAACATGTCACTTTTCTGCTGTTGTTATTTCGAGTATTCACATCCCATCCATATGTTCCATAAGGTAACAACAATGGATATTGTAAAGGGTCATAGTAGCCGACACAGTCTTTGATACTCTTAAGTTGACCATCTGTAGTTTGCACAACAATATCTCGACCTCTAATGTTTTCTGATCCTTCACCACCTACTATGATTGCAGCAACCTGAGATGCAGACGGTAAACAATATTGTCGTTGATTCGCAGGCTGCTCTTTGATAATCAATCTACAACTTTGCAAATCTTGACGTTGCGCAAGGTGGTGAAATGTTTGCACAAATGGATTATATTGATTCAAGATTTGTTGGATTTTTTCAACCATATCTCTGTTTAGTGCTTCACTTTCTCTCATTCGATTGTCTATTTCATGAGCTGTGTCATATATATACATTTGTAGGAATCTCGGTCTACCATCTCTAATAGGCAAAAGACTTCCAATCTTATGATATATGGAACCTTGAGCACGAAATGTGTAAATACCACATCTTCATGTTGCTAGGTTTTCGTCAACATGAACTCCCATTGAAGTGAAGGCAAAAATGTGGTTGTAAGCTCGTATATTCTGCCTAAAATGTCTTCCCTCGGCAGATTGGTTGCAAAAAAGCTCAGTCATTTCAGGAGGGGACGGTGCCAATGGTAGAGCAAGCTTTCCACGTAAGCAACACATTTCAGATGTTTCATGAGAGAACAAACGGGCATGACAATCTGGACATGTGGTTGGATTTGGCATGTGAAATCTTGGGATTTCCATGTTTTCATTAAAGTTTCTAGCACAATTATGAATTGGCCTTCTTCCCATAGTATGATGTCAAGGTGGTACGTCCTCGTTAGGCTGGATCTCATTTTCATTAATGAGATTAAAAGCATCTGCTTAAAAAGGAAACATTAAAGGTGTTTCATGATTTAGAGAGCATAGTTGAAATTGTAGGTATTAATATTAAAAAAATGATACCTTCATTGATGATGGGCAGATAACAATGACTCATTGGAGTATTCGAACTGAATGATTGCGCTGTTGTATTTTCTGTTATAATCAAATGAAATGGAAGTAAGGTAATAAATAGTGTTTACAGTAATGATGATATTGATGTTTATCTTTTTCAAAGTTGTACTATGGTAGTTTGTGCGATTACCATTATTAGTGAAACTTTGTATTAGTCCATCCCAAGGCAAGCGTGTCCTATTCGATCGGGCAATTTGCCTTATATGAGTTAAGCGCATTGTTCTTGGAACTTGATTGCTGCTGCCTTCTCCAAACGGCACTATGTTTAGTCGTTCAACATGATTGCTACTGCCTTCATCGAATTGCACTATGTTAGGGTGTTGAACTTGATCGGCATCACCACCAAATAACATTATGTTTGAGCGTTGAATTTGTTGAACACGATAATTGGATCGTCGCCGTGCTAAATATTTGTGTCTGATCAGTAACATATGCATTTTGTTGCTCTAAACCAAGAAACGTAATGGTGCACGAAAAATATTAGTAAGCATAGAATATTATTTAAGTACCTACATACGTATTTTTTTTCCTTTTGTTTTTGTAATTGAATCATTGGTATACATTACGTTTTTTTTTTTTTTTCGTTTGATTGAGACTGCCTAGGTCACATAATAAGTGGCAGAGGAAGAAGAAAACAAAGAAAAAGTGAATGTTTGTATTTTGAGCTATTTTCTCTTTAAAGTCTGTAGCTTTTAGTGATCAGAAAAGCAAAAACTGTGGATTGTTTTGGATGCCAGACCTTGGATGAATAGTAATGTTTATTTTAATTGATCACAGAAAAGAAAAACACATTTTTTTTGGATGAGAGTGGTTTTCTTCTTGCCGTTTTCGGATGAAAATGAATGCAACGCCAATATCTATGAATCTAGGGTTTACTAAAATTTAGTGAATTTCATGCACTGAATCATTGATTTATGATTTCATTTCTCTGATTTGGGTTGTGCTTTTTGCTTCCTTTGATTTTGCATCTGTGTAATTATGTGCTGCATGTTTTTTTTTAACTTCACAATTATTTCCATTTAGTATCGATGTACTATATCTTTATGTGATGTTATTTTTATATTTTTCTCTTGACTATTATACTTGAACTGTTATTCCAAGTTTACATAATATTCCTTTCCTTCTTTGTTTATTTTTATTTTATTTTATTTATTTATTTATTTTTGTTGTTTGGAGTACTTATTAAAACGTTGGTCACTATGGTAAATATATACAATTCAAATGTTGAAATTATTATAGACATAACAGAATTATTAAATGGATGTTTGCATTGATAGTACAAAAAGGCAATGACAACTTAGAATCACTGATTTGTTCTATCTTAATATATTTGTCTTAATAATTTGTACAAAAATGTTAATACAACGTACGAATTGAATAGAGACAAAAAAAAAAAAAATCATAGTTACCCGCAGATGTCGATCCTATGTTTTCTTGGTTTCCTTCCGTTTGATTTTGGACTATATTGATTGAGTTCAAGCGGGTTTGATAATTGGCACGTCGTCGTATTGAAATTCGAGCCCGCTGTGATGAATTCATAGATTGTTGTCTTTGTCTTTGTTGATTGCTCCTATGATTTTGCCTTTGTTGATTACTTCTACGATACCTTTGGTCTGACTGTTGAAAATTGTGAATATTTGTTTGTCCAAAGTCAACTTCTTCATTGCCAACCTACATTGAGAAATTGCTAAACAGAATGAATTTTATTTTATTTTTGAAAAAGAAGAAAAAATATATCATCTGTACAAAAGAGGAATAATGCAGATAAGGTAACAACCTCTGACATATCGCTTCTATCATTCCCTCCATACTTGATATGTTGTAGTCCTCCAAAAATCTTAAAACTGAAATTTCAATTTGATGATTCTTAATAAAGGTAAAATTGAAGAAAAATATGAATACATGAAGAATGGCAAAGCAAAAAAGTGAAAAAATTGAAATAAAGAAGAATGATGAATCGGGCGTTGCTTAATACCTGTTTTATCCTACGTTGGAGTGTGAGAGTCTGTAAAACCAAGCAACAACTGTTGATAGCAATTGTATAACTGAGGGGAAAATTAACATTTGAATTTGGATATGGGAAAATAAGTAGGAACAGAAAGAATGGGATTATACGAACGGGGAAGTTAGTGCTTGTAGTGGGCAAGCTTCACGGTTTTTTGAAAACCCACGGCAACCTTTACCCCATTATTTCTCCCACGTTGGTTTCATTTTTTTTTTTTTTTAATCTATATATCATTTTATAAGATATTAGTATCTCCTCCTAGAATGGATAGAAATTTGTTGGAGACATCCTAATCCGTCTAAATTAGTTGGACCATATGCATATGTTAGTATAATGTATTAGATACTTTTTTTAATATAGATATTAATATTTTCTCCTAAAATGGAGGAGAAGTTATTCCGTTCTTGTTGTTTTATTTGTTTTTTTTCCCCAACATAACAAATTTGAATTTCTCTGTTTAATATCTCTCTCCTAAAATAGAAAGCAGTTATTCACCTTGTGGCCTTTTTTTAACTTTATTTTTTAATATTTATCTCCTAAAATGATGTTCTCAACTTTATTTTTTTAATTTGTTTTTGTTGCCTTTATCATTTATCTCTCCCTCCTCTTCATAACTGCTATCTTTTAAAGGATAATTATCATGATTTTTTATCTCCTCCTAAAATGGATAGAAATTAGTTGAAACATCCTAATCCGTCTAAATTAGTCGGACCATATAACTTCATATTACATTAAACATTTTGGCTAATATGTTATAAGCACAACCAACTCATCCATATTAAGAACCCAACAGAAATAATAAACTTGTGAACGTAAGGAAAGATGTGAACAGAAAATAAATTCAACAAAACTGGAAAAATGAAGAGAAGAAATTCCACTTATGAAAGGTGGTTAGGGAAAAAAAAAGAATCAAAAGTAGAAGAAATTCCACGACCGACCTGCGTATTTATCCTATTCAACAGTCGTTGTCAAACACTTCGGTGAAAGATCTACACATTGCTTATATCTGTGAGATGAATACGACAACCATTTGAGGTTGAATTAGTGAATTTCAAATACAATGGAAAAGAGAAAATGCAGACCACATCTTGATGAACAAAATTAGAGAAAATGGCGGATAAAAACGGAAAGGGAAATCGATTAGGTAATCATGATTAAAGGAAGATTAGAAATTTCATTAAAATAAAAAGAAGAATTGAAAGCAAAATCAAATGTAGAAGACAATTCCATTAATTGATAGAACAATCACGATTTGTCTGCATGTTTTAAGTTAAAAAGTAGCACTATTTTATTGATAAAAATTTGTATGTAACACCTCAAAAATATTAAGATTATATGGTATGGAGTTGGACATGGCGAAAAATATAAAACTTACAGCAGAAAGATGCTTAGAAGCATCCACTATGAGAACTGGTCCGCCGTTAACATCAAGAAAGTCGTGTGCATAAGTTTTTCCTGTTTTGGCTATACCCTCCACTCAATCACAGGATTAGGGAAGTACCAAAAACGAAACTTTAATCATAATTGCATTATTTTTCTGCTTTAAAGGGGTAAAAAAAAATCCAAAATGAAAGAAATTTCCCGACGTAAAATGTAAGTGACAGAACATGTTCAAGCAACAACTAATGCAAATTATGCAATTGAGCGAGCTAGTGAAGGATAAGTATTAACACACATAAATTATCTAATTTGAAGCTCATATCATGCGCAGCAAACCAAAACAAACAATTCAACTGAAAATTTGAAATTCAGATCAACCAAAACAAACCAAAGTCACTTACCATGGAAGATTATCACAAAATCGCATATTAAAATTTTATTAGATTTGGCATATACCTAATGTCTAAGGGATGCAATCACATTGCTTGCAGAAACAGAATAACATATACTTCAAAATTTCCTATTCTTGGCTTGAATTTAATATCACTTTTGTTTGGATTGCTATGAAACCACCACCAATCTCGAGCGAACACAGATCAAACCCTAACATTTCAAATTTTCCAAGATTTCAAAACTTCTATTTGCAGGCATCAATCACAAAATAAACACCAAAGAAGTCAATCACTAAGAAGACATCAAAAACCAAAATCAGATGCCAAAAATCCATAAAATTAAAAGAATTAAAATATGGGTTTTATTAATCGGGTAGTGAATCACTACAATACCACGAATGATGCTGAGAACTAAATCAAACAACAGTAAAAATTAAACCCTACTTTTTTTTTTTTTTAATTCGAAAAAAGAAAGAGGGTAATGATTTTTCTTCACAAACCTCTCTAACCCAATGAAGGGCGCTCCTATCAAGTCCTTCAGT